GGGGGGGCCCCGGGGGGGGCAGCAGAGCCTTGTTGGAGGGGGAGATGCCAGATCCCCCTCCCCGCTGCCCGTGTCTGCTGCAGGGCTGCCGGATCTACCCGTGCGGCACCAAGAGGAAGAGGGACCTGCTGGAGGAGGACAGGAGGAAGCGGGGGGTTGACTTCCATGATGTGCAGGACTACGTGGACGGTAGGGCCGGGTGCTGCGCGGGGCTGGGGCAGAGCCGGCCCTTCCCAGGCTCCTGCAGCACCGAGCGGGTGGGGGACAAAGGGAAGGCTGGAGGCGTGAGGGGCTCTGCCCTTGCTCTGGGCCTGTGGCAGATCCGATGGCTCCAGGCACCTCCCTGGGCACGGCATGTCCTGACAGGAGGCCAGTTGGGTCAAGGGGACGGGATGGTGGAGCCCTGCCCTGGGTCCCTGCCAGCCTGCTGTCAGCAGCCCTGCCCCAGGGGTGACTCGGGGGCAGCTGGGCCATGTCCTGCACTCACAGCTGCTAATGCAGGCCCTGGTTTCAGAGATCAAGGCAGAGCATTTTGAGACCTCCAGTAAGACAGGCCAGAGTGTGGGTGAGTACCCCCTTGCTGCCAGCTGTGTCCCCCCAGGGCAGGGCCAGGAGGACTCTGCCTGGTGGTTGGGCTGCCCACACCAACCCTGCCTGCTGTCCCCCCAGATGAGCTGTTCCAGAAGGTGGCTGAGGACTATGTCAACTTCACCTCCTTCCAGATGATGACAGGTGAGGGGGTAGGATCTGTTCCCCTCCCCACCCCAACACCTTCTCCTGTGCTGACAGGTGCACATGCCTCCCCAAGCAAGGGGGGCAGGGGGCTGGCAGAGCCCTTCTTTGATCCTCGGGGCTGCTGTGGCTCAATGCTAGGGGTTGTCTCATGGCCCTGTGGTGGTCTTCCCATACCTGCTCAGCACATCTGCCCAGCTGGGCTGTGGGTGGCCTGTCGCAAACAGGCAGCCAGGGGCTCTTGCCACTGATTGCCAGTCCTGCAACACTGGTGCTCAGCTCTGCACCAGGCCTGTCCAGACATGTACAGATGGGCTGTGCCTCCAGCCCTGGGCCATGCTGTGACCCTGGGCCAGGCTGCTTCACTTGGGGGGGCACCACACCTCTTCCTGAGGACCTGCTGGGGCCCAGACCTAGTATTTGGCAGCCTTTGGTCTCCACCTGGCATCATGGTGCAGACATGCCAGCAGCTGCTTGCCCCATCTCTTTTCCAGAGGAGAAAGGCGTTGACCTGAGCCAGAGGAGCAGCACCTACTTCTACAGCTGCCGGCACCACCAGAGATCAAGGCAGAGCATTTTGAGACCTCCAGTAAGACAGGCCAGAGTGTGGGTGAGTACCCCCTTGCTGCCAGCTGTGTCCCCCCAGGGCAGGGCCAGGAGGACTCTGCCTGGTGGTTGGGCTGCCCACACCAACCCTGCCTGCTGTCCCCCCAGATGAGCTGTTCCAGAAGGTGGCTGAGGACTATGTCAACTTCACCTCCTTCCAGATGATGACAGGTGAGGGGGTAGGATCTGTTCCCCTCCCCACCCCAACACCTTCTCCTGTGCTGACGGGTGCACATGCCTCCCCAAGCAAGGGGGGCAGGGGGCTGGCAGAGCCCTTCTTTGATCCTCGGGGCTGCTGTGGCTCAATGCTAGGGGTTGTCTCATGGCCCTGTGGTGGTCTTCCCATACCTGCTCAGCACATCTGCCCAGCTGGGCTGTGGGTGGCCTGTCGCAAACAGGCAGCCAGGGGCTCTTGCCACTGATTGCCAGTCCTGCAACACTGGTGCTCAGCTCTGCACCAGGCCTGTCCAGACATGTACAGATGGGCTGTGCCTCCAGCCCTGGGCCATGCTGTGACCCTGGGCCAGGCTGCTTCACTTGGGGGGGCACCACACCTCTTCCTGAGGACCTGCTGGGGCCCAGACCTAGTATTTGGCAGCCTTTGGTCTCCACCTGGCATCATGGTGCAGACATGCCAGCAGCTGCTTGCCCCATCTCTTTTCCAGAGGAGAAAGGCGTTGACCTGAGCCAGAGGAGCAGCACCTACTTCTACAGCTGCTGCCACCACTGAGACCTCCTGCCAAAAGGGAACCACTGCTGCTGGCCAGGCAGCTGGTGGGTGCCAGACCCCTGGTGTTTTTTACCTGCTGTGTTTTAGCTGTACAGGCCGGTCCGCGACGTGGCCTTGTGGACTGTTCCCTCCCTGCGTGCGGAGCGCGGCTGTGCCGGGAGCCTCCTTCGCCACCGGGAGCTGTGGGTGGGCTGTCACCCCTAGGGACCCTCTCCCTGCCACCCGGCCTTTGTGGGAGCTGCTTCCCTGAGTCACTGCTGTGGCCCAGCAGCGACCATTAACTTATTATCTTGGAGATGCTGCCTGATTCTTTGCAGATTTATTTAAGCATCTTCTCTCCAGGTGTACAATGTAAATAAAATGCATCATGGTCTGAGCTGTCCCTCTGCCTGTGCTGCTGCCACATGCCTGAGCTGTCTGGGCACATCTTCTCTCCCCCACATCCTCCCCAGCCCAACACTCAGCAAGACAAACCACAAGAGGACATCGAGAGTAAAGTTAAACTTTACTTTACAGTAATTTTTCTTCTATATACAAAGAATTACAGTACATGTTCTGGGAGCACCTGGGTGGGGCAACCCTCTTTTCATTATAAGTTTCACATACACAGCCAACAGTCTAAGGGGAGCAAAATGAAAGTAATCAATGGTCCAAGACTCTCCCCTCTCCCTCTTCTAAAAATAATATACATGCTGGAAATATGTAAGTTTCTCTCACCTGCTCTGGCATCCCTGCTGAGAACTGACAAGTCCTGGCCAGGGCTGAGCACCCACACACGTCTCCCAGCCCTAACATGTGCCCACAGCTCTGGCTGGCCCCCGCCTGGGCTGGGCACTCCAACTCCTGCCATGTCTCCCCCCGAGGGGAGGACTCCACCACCACCCCACGGGCTGCAGACCTCGGTGGGGGAGGAATGCAGCACAGGGCTGCTCACACCAAGGCTCCCCCTCCTCTCCAAGCAAACTTCCCACTCATCGCTTCAGCACAACTTTAGCTGCTGCTTGAGCACGGGTGGCCCCCCCGTGTGTGCCCTCCCCAGGCAGTGAGGAAGGGGGAGCAGGCAGCCAGGGCCACCCTCCCCAGGACCTCCAGCCAAGAGCACAGGGCACCAGAGGGTGGCAGGGGACATTCAAAGCCAGACGTGCTATTGGACACGTTTGGTGTCTCAGGGGCAGGCAGGCTGGTGGGGCAGTGAGCACAGGGGAACTGCAGTAAAGCAGGGCTGTGAGCACGGCTGCTGAAAGGCTTCTGCCATGGCAGGGAGAGCAGCTCCCTGTCCCACTCCCTGCCTGCCCAAACCAGCTGCTGCCAACACATCCGACCTCCCACCCATGTCAGCTGGGGCCACCCTTGGCTACAGCCATGCTGACCTGGAGCCTCCTGGGGCTGCTGCTTTTCCTTTTAACAAGTTCCCAGTGTCTAAAAAAAAAATACACAAAACCCAGTTCCTTGAAGTCAACATCTCGGAAATATGGGGGGTGGGGGAAAGAGGGGCAGGGGGAGAACAAAACACAAAAAAAACCCAAAACCAAAACTGAAACCAGCTCAGTACCAAACGGACACAAAGAACATGCAGTTAGCAGACGCCTGTCTTGCTTCACGTGGCTGCACTGGCTCCCTATGCCCACGGGGCCCACTGGCACGCTGGTTTGAGTCAAAACCACCACAAATCGAAGGAACCGAGTCACGCCTCGCTCCGTTTCCATCACACACGCCGAAGCCCAGCCCCAGCTATCAGGGGGTGGGATTCAGCCAGCAAGGAAACCTCCAGCCCCCGGGCTACGAGCCGTGAGTCCAGCCCTACTGTGCTAAGCTGCCAAACGGTTTACAATAGCACCACAATAGCCCAAGTGCTTCGCCAAGGGCAAACTGATTAAAACTTTACCTTGAAATAGGACATAGCAACACCCATTTCTCAGATTTCCCTAGGAGGTAGATTCAGTGCTGTAGGGACTGTCCCACACTGCCACTAATCTAGCCCAAGCTCACACATGCTGCCCCCCGCACCAGACTTGGCTTAGGTCGCTTTTAAGAGGACCTGGAGCAGAAATCTTGCCTTTTCCCACCTCCTGCTAAGCAAGGGCACCGCTTGCCCGCAGGCGAGACTCCAACTGAAGCCAGGCAAGCAGCGGAGGGGCCCCCAGGCTCCTGCATCCCATCTCCCAGGCCCTGGGAGTCCCAAGCACGCATCAGCCTGGCTGTGCTGCTGCAGGAGGCTCAACCCGGCAGCAAATGCTGCCATTGGCGTTATCACCATCACAGGGGAGTAATCAGCGCAGACAAAGCCCAGGCAATTAAACACGGAGTGAGCCCTGTACTCTTGAGAGAAGCTGCACAGTTGCTACTTTGCTTTAACACTCACTGGCTGGCAAAGGCTGAAAGCCTCATCAGTAATTTAGGGCAAAGCACATTACAAACAGGTTACAATGACGGTTATTTCCAAACATCAAGCAAAATCAGAAGTTAAGGCTGAAATTAAAAATAAAAGGAAGGTGTAGAAGGTCTGAGGTTTCTCCAACAAACTCCCCCTGCCCTGTCACAACGCTGAGTGGAGGGCCCAGGCAGGAGCAGTGCTCGTTCACAGAGCACTCAGGTTAAGCTGCTGCCAAGATGCATCAGGGTTAGGGCTGCCTTTTTTTTTTTTTTTTCCTGTGAAACTGAGCCGAAGCTGGTCTAGCACCTCGATCCGTGTTGTCTCTCACCTTAGTTCCCGACCTTTTGATTCAATCATCTCTTATCTCCTGAACTTTTAACAACAGCCACACCTTCAAAGCCAAGCCTGTGCCTGCGGGGGCGGGGTTCAACCCTGTATCCCAACGTGTGGTCCCAGTGTCACCTGGATACTTCGTGCATGGAAGTGAATCTGGTTCTGGTGGGGTTTTTTATTAAATAGGGCAAGTTTTAACTCGAGAACAGCAATAAAGCAAGCTACTGCGGGCTAGTCAGTATCTAAAGATGTGCTGTGGGGGATTCTCCTACAGTGGTCACTTTTCTGCTAGATTCACCAGAGCCCTGGCTGACAGTGGGTGCAAGCCCAGAGAGATGGTGCAATGGGACAAGCCACGCAGGGTGACAGTCAGTGCCTGCTCCCCTCCTGCCCACACCTCCTGCAGTGGCTCCTCCCCTGCAGACCTTCTCCCCTGCCTGGGCAGGCAGACCAAGTCCCCAGCCACACTGTCACCCCTCATCAGAGCTCCTCTGTCACCAAAGATCAACTGGGAATCTCCTGCCCACCATGGAAACCTACCACTGAAGTGGGTCATGCTGTGAGACAGAGGCCACAGCCAGTGACTTCAGCTCTAAGCAGGGCAGCAAGACCATTCTTAACAGCAAGGATGCTGACCAGCAAAGCATCTGCATGGGAACAAATCCTTCATCTCCTCCGGAATGGGAATGGGCTCATGACTGTGGGAGGTTCTTGTGAGCCTCCCTGGGACAGCAGGGAAGGGGACACAGCTCTGAGCAGAAATAATTATACCATTGATTCTGCTTCTACAACTCTCCACAACAGTGAATCAACACAAGAGTCACCACTTACCCACCTTGGATGCAATTATGCCTGACTCAAGACAGGCAGTGGCCAGGTATCGGATCCCTTCAATACAGTGAAAAAGCAGCATGGCCTCAGCCACAGCAGAGCTGGCCTTGCTCCATCCAGCCCAGCACAGGGGCTTGGGAAGGCAGGAGCAGAGCTGCAGCAGCCTCTCTCCTGCAGGAGCAGTCTGCTGGGCTACTTAAAAAATTCAAGTGATTCAAACTGGCTGAAGTCTGCAGGCAGCAATGGACTGCAGAAAATTAACCCAACAACATCAATATAGACACCTTCCTCTCCTCCTCCAAGGCAGTGTTACCAGGTGCCAAAAACAGCCAGAGACTCCTCAAGTGCTGAATAAGCCCCCATTTCCTTCGTGAGGGGTGTGTAGCCCAGAGCTGTATCCCACTCACCGCCGACGAAGGCAGGCTGGGCAGGGCTGCCAGGACCCATCTCCACACCTGGTCAGGCCCTTCCTGCCTTACTGAGGTGACCCAGCACAGCCAGCCACTCCTAACCGCACCACGACTCCCTCTGCAAGCCCTACATATTTCTGAAAAGCCCTCCTGGTCTGACAGAGCACAGACCAAGGGCCCAAGGAGGGAAGAGCAGCGCTGCTTCCGCTAGGCTGAAAGTCAACTTCCCAGCATACAGCTGGAAGGCAGCAAGCCAGAAACCCTGGATCCTCATGAAAAAGGCATGAGGGGAGACAAAAGAAGAGAGGTGGGGTATGGTCAGATGCAAGGAATAAGGCTGTGGGTTTGAAATGCCATGCAATGCTTCAATCCACGTTCACTGTTCAAAACAAGCTCTTGGCTAAAAGTCTGCTGCACAAAAGGCTGCTGCCACAAACCTCAACTTACTACTCGAGCACAAAATTTAGGAGTGATTTTTTTTTTTTTCCAAACCTGCACTTGCGAGAATTCATTGAGAACTTCTCCATTTTACAGATTTTAAAAAGCCTGCACCAAAAATATTCACAGTTTATTTTTCATGAAACACGTAACTAGTTAACACGTGACAATGCGAAGCGGAGGTGGACAGAGCAGTGCAGATACCTTTCTGGTTACAGCTGTAGCTGGCTGGGTGACTGGCACGGAGGTAACCCTACTTACACAATCTACATGACTAAGTCCAGCTCATGGGAAGGCCTATAAATGTAAATTCACGATTTTATTTTTTTTCTCCTTCTCACACTTGATAAATACTTAATATACTGAACCTCATTACCATTTTTCTTTATTTTGTTTTAAAAAGTTAATGAATGCCCTTAGATTATCTTCTCTCTCAATGGCTCTGAGGAGTTGTCCTGATTCCCTTTGTGCAGGAGTCATGCAGAAACACAAGCTGCTTGCATTTCCTAGTTTCAGCAGCAAGCAGGAACTGACCTGCCAGTCTTCCTGGAAAAAAAACCCAACACATTAAAGAATAAGTTTCCATAAGCCATAAAGCTTTTTGAAGTCACTAG